CAGCGCCGAATCCACTACAAATTCAATCGAATCCACGCCGGATTCAACCAGGAGTCTGTCAAGACTGAGCCTTCCGACCAACAACGCCGGATACACTACAAATCCACTACAAATTCAGACGAACCCACGCCGAATTCCAAACCCATTCTTTCCAACAGCATTTCGCATGAATCCAGCATGAATCCAGCACGAGAACAGCAACGTTCTTGAAAACACTGCCGCCCAAAACATCACCTGTGAAAACGACACCGAAACAGCTGATTTTGTAGTGAAAACAGCGTTGGTCTGGGCCCTGCGTTTTGAAAACAACTGAAACCGCCATGAATCCAGCATGAATCCAGAGTGAAAACAGCACCTCTGCTGTACTGCGCATGAAAAAGCTCTTGGAGGAAGTCGCTTTTCAAAACTCGCTCCGCGCTGAATCGGTGAATTAGAGCCGAAAAGTCGGCGCTTTGGATTTGTGGGAGACTATTTAGAGATGGAACAGCATCAAACCGAAAACGCCTGAATCCAGCATGAGTCCAGCAGTTCAACACCAAAGCGATTTCACCTTCACCCTGAAAGCTGTGTCCTCACCGATTCCAAACGACCAAAAAAAAATTAAGCTGTACGAAGAGAAGAGAAGAGAAGAGAAGAGAAGAGAAGAGAAACAAAGAGAGAGAGAAACAAAGAGAGAAAGAGAGAAGCAAAGAGAGAGAGAGAGAGAGGAACAGAGAGAGAGAGAGAGTGAAACAAAGAAACAAAGAGAGACAGAGAGAGAGAGGAACAAAGAGAGAGAGAGAGAATCAGAGAGAGAGAGAGAGAGAATCAGAGAGAGAGAGAGAGAAAGAGAAAGAGAAAGACAAAGAGAGAGAGAGAGAGAGAGACAGGGAGAGAGGGAGAGAGGGAGAGAGGGAGAGAGGGAGGGAGGGAGAGAGGGAGAGAGGGAGAGAGGGAGAGAGGGAGGGAGGGAGGGAGAGAGGGAGAGAGAGAGAGAGAGGGTGAGAGTGAGAATACGCATCATTTGATTGAAGTAAAAGAACAAGGGTTAGGCTTTTTGAAGATCATGGCCAGTCTGCTGCACAGAGTCTTGGAGTGAGCACCTGGTTCAACTGCTGCTTTGAAGGCTTTGCTGTTAACATATGTTAGTATATCTCTTTTGAAGATACCCCAAGTCCAGGCTCTTTTTTGGAGATACCTTTCCAAGACAGCATTTTATTCCCACAAGTCGAAGCTCATTTTTTGCAAATATCTTTGTGAATGGGTAGCATTCCCCCCAATCAAGTCCATTATTTTTTGAAGATACCTTTCCAAATAGATAGCATACATTTTCCCCAAGTCCAAATGTTTTGAAGATACCTTTCCAAATAGATAGCATACATTTTCCCCAAGTCCAAATTTTTTGAAGATACCTTTTCCAAATAGATAGCATAAATTTTCTCCAAGTCCAATTTTTTAAGATTTTTTCCAAATAGGTAGCATTTTCCACCAAGTCCAAACCACCAACCCAAACCAACAATTTTCAGTTGATTGAAGTCAAAAGCATTATTACATTTTTCATTTTACAAAATCCTATCCATCAACCGTTCCTAAATTCCTTTTATGCTTCTCTGTTTTTAAATGTCTTGAATAACGTTGTGCCTTCATTGATGATTTACATACATTACAAAAGGCAACTTTATCACGATAGTTTTGTATTTGTTCCTGTTTATTTTTTCTATCTTCTTCATGTTCTTTATATTTAGTTCTTCGTGTTTCATTCACTTTATCTTTATGTTTGTCAAAGTTCTATCTCTTGTATTCCAAGCATGTCTTACAAGTCTTCAACCCATCTTCTAAATTATCAGTTGGTAAACTTTTAACACAGTATCTACAAAATTTATCCAATACATATAAATATGATTATCTTCTCAAATGTATTTCCAAGAATTCCTTTAACAACCAAAAAACAAAAACAACCCAAGCAAAGAACAGTATATAAGACAAAACGGCAGACAACAATAAAGATAAACCCTTAACCTTTAATAATCCGA